AACTTGTCCCAGGTAGGTGCTGACCTTTCCGCCTGAGGGGCAAGGGCACTTGGAACAGAGCTGAACTCAGCCCATGGTGAAGAGCCATGTCCAGCCCAGCTCCTCCTGGATCAGTCGACTCTAATGGACCTGTCAAAGGATGAGGGTGAATAAATAATTGTTTTTTTAAAAGCTGCTAAGTGTTGGAACCATTTGTTTTGCAGCATTAGTTCGATAATAGCTGACTAATACATACCCACTTGCCACAGCTCCTCTCCACTGCCCTAAGAGGATGGATGTCTGTGGCAGAAACACCTAGCTGTTCCCCAACATCTGCTCTACACTTGTGTTACCCCAAAGTAACAGAAGTTACTGCTTTTTATCTGGTCATACGGCTGTCTGGATTCAGACTACATTTTCCAGCTTCTCTTGTAATGAAGGGTGGCCCTGTGACCAAGTCCTAACCAATGTGATATTAGAGAAAGTCCTATATGACAGTTTCTGGAGCCTTTTCTCAGAAATAATTGACCTCCACCTTTTGCCCTCTCTTTCCTACCCCTTCACCCTTCCCAGATGCAGATGTGATGGCTGGAGCTCAAGCAGCCATCTTGGACATCAGGCAGAAGTTACAATTTGAGGATGGCAAAAGTAACAAAATAGAAGGAACTAGGGTTCCCAGTGATCATGGAGATGCCATGCCAACCCGAGGCTGTATATGTATATTTACTTGTCATAAGAGAGGTTACAAAGTTCTATCTTATATTTCCTGTCATGCACAACAAAACTCAATCTTTATTCAGTAGCTTCTTACCTTTTTTCATGAGCTCATCCTGTGCACCTACTAACCATGCTAAGGACTACTATATGCTTCCCACCCTTTGAGTAAGTATTTATTAAGCACTTACTATGTGTCAGGCAATGTAATGGTGCTGGGAAAATAGTAAGAAGCAACACAGACATGGTCTCTACTCTGAGGGGCTTTGTAGTTGAGAGGAAAAGACAGCAATGAAATGAACACATGTGTATAAGTAATTACCATCTATGACAAGTGCCTTCAAAGAAAGGTACAAGGCAGTTCATGAGCAGACAAAGGCCCTCTTCTCTGGAGCCCTCTTCTACTCACGGCTATCAGGGAAGGCTTCCCTGAGGAAGTGACATCTAATCTGAGTTCTAGGGAAAGTGGGGTTAGGAATATAGCTTAGTGCTTGTTGCTTAGGCTATTACATCATTCAATCAACTGTGACCTGACTGATAGTAGTAGGTATTCTGTTTGGAAATATCCACCATTATTTCATGGAAAACTTTGGTCCCTGATATGCATTGAATTATCTTAATAAAATGACACTCTGCCCTCCAAACTGTTACTTGTATATAATCTAGTGACAAAAGTGGTTGCAATGTTTTCTGGAATAAATTTTATGATTTAAGCCGAAAAAGGAAAAAAGAAAAGCTCTGCCCTCAAGCCAAGGAGAATCTGAGTCAAGAGCCCCCAATCCAAGCCACTAAACTTCTCAGACTGGCAGGAGCTGAGGCTGCCTGGGATTTAGGGTTGGGGTCCCAGTTCCTACTCAGCTGCCACGTCCTTGTCTACTTTCTCTAAACTCTAACTTTCTCACTTGTGAAGTGAAAACAATACTCAGACCTTCTCTAGGCCTCTTGCGAGGCCTGGTGAGGGTGAGGCATGGAACGCCCTGGGGGTGAGGCCTGAGCTGTCATTTTTTATCTGCAACCTGACCCTGCCCTCCCCCAGCCCCAGCTATGCCTTCACTCCCATGGAGCTGAGCAGACTCCTTCATCCTCAACTTGTCTCCTCCAACCCAAGGGAGGGGCCCCCCTGGGGGCAGGGGGCCCAGGATACCCCCTTCCCTCCTTTCTGGCTGGCCAGGGAAAAGACAGGAGAAGCCAGATGTTTCACAGATGTTGCAGATTGTAAGCAAAACAGCACTGGAGCGCCTTCTCTGAGGCCCCAGGTCTGTCTCTTGGGCTGGGAGCACTGAGCGAGAGGCAGCGGTGAGGGGCAGGCGTGATGAATCAGAGAGTTTCCAGGATAGGATGCGAGCAGGAGGGATACAGCAAGGAGGAATTAGGCCAGGGGTCCAGGGGAGCAGGCAGGGAGGTGGGGGTAGGGAGATCAGGGAGTTTGGTGAGGGCGAGGGGGTGGGAAGGAGTGAAGGTGGCTAACTGGGTGAGCCCGTGGGGGCCTGGCTGGGCAGGAGACCTATTGCTGACCTACTTCCTTTGCCCCACGTCCACCGTGGGGTCCCAACTTCACTGGGGAAGAAGTTTAGAACCAAGAGGCTCCCCGGTGCTCCTGAGACACCTCTGGAGGTGCTGAGCTCCCCAAAGCAGGAGGGATGCAAGTAGAAACCCAAGAAGGGACCCAGGCACCAGGCAGCAGTCGGATCCAGAAGGTCTCTTCCAGGTTGGAGAGTCTGGGAGGCCGTATCTGCCCCCAGCCAGGCCAAGAGGCCAATAGCACTAGGGTCCACATGGAGCTGGGTGAAATGGCCACAGGCAGGCCAGGGATGAATGCCCGCCCACTGCTATCCACCGAGAGGCACTACCATGCTGCCCTCTCCCCTTTTCACCCTTCACACCCAGTTTGCCAGCTGACCCCGGCTGCCCGCAGTCAGGCCAAGGCTGGGCAGCGGTACGGGGACAGACTGTTTGTGACCTACTCCCTGGAACAGGCTGGCTTCATTCTCCAGCAAAACCATTCCTGGAAGGACAGGAATCTGGGGTGCTCAGGCTCTCCGTCCACTCTAATGAAGGTAGAGAATGAGCTTTGCCACTTCCCCATGACCCTGAAAAGTGATGTGATTGGTGGCAGCTTATGCTGGAGGCGCAGGTCCCTGGGCTCAACTTGCTGCCAACAGCCTCGCTGAGTCACTGCCACTCTGAGGTAGGTGCCAATCCGCACAATTTGTAGATGAGAAACTGAGGCAGAGAGCCTACAGGATTTTTTTTTTTCCTCCAAAGATTTGCAGCTTGTAGTAAGTGGCAGAACCGGGAGCTAAGTGAATCCTAGAGCCTGGCTCCAGGGCCTGGGCCTTGTACCTCTTGCACATTTGCTGCTCCCCTCCCTCTGCCTCAGTCTTCCCATCTGTGAGATGGGGAGGGAGCTGGACAGGACGTGGTGACCTCACAGCTCTCAGATCCCACATCGACCGGCCTGGGGTTGCTAGATGGAGACCACATGTGAAAGAAGAAATGGGGACAGCCCAGACACCACATGGGTAAGGGGACTGCGGCCTAAGGCAGTGAGGGCTGTGCCCAAGTCCCTCGGGAGTCCAAGTGGGGGTGGGGCAGGCAGACCCAGGCGCTTTTCCAGGCTCCTCTCCAGCTGTTGTGTGTAGCCAAAGCAACTTGGAGGCCAAGGGCGCCGGGTGTGAGTAATGGAAACCAGGCAGTGGGGCCTTCCGAAATGGGAATTCCATCTGCCTGACTTGGTTCTCCTGGCCTGAGGTTTCCATGGCAATTTGGGAATGGGAAAGATGGAGGGCCCAGCCCAAGGCTGACTCCCTGGAACCTAGGCAAAGGGGAAGGTGAGTCTCCTCCCAGACCCAGGGTCCCCTCCTTGCCACAGCAAGGCCAGGTGAGCCCAGACTGTGACGCCCTGAGTGCGGATGTCAGCTATGCAGCTACCGTTTTGGGGGACCAGGAGTGGTGTTGCAGTCCTCTCTGGGCCTCAGTTTTCCCAGCTGTCAGGTCCCCAAATCTCCAGGCCTGGACAACACCTGAGTGTCATCCCTCACTCTGATCCAGGCGCGCATCTCTGTCCCCCGTCCCTCTAGGTCATCAAGGCCCTGGCAGCTCCACCCTGAGAAAGCCCTTCACCATTTCCAAAGCCAGATGGGGTTCCCTGGCCAGGCCCCCGGCCCCGGGAAGAAGACCCAGCCCCACTCCCAGAGGAGCTCACACACTGGTGCTGGGGGAACAGGCTGTGACACTTATTAAGCACCTACTGTCTGCCTAGCCTGACATTAGGACCCCAGAGACCACCGTTTCTGATGTTCTCCATGTGCAGGGGGATCCTGGGGTGTCCCTGCCCTGGGAGACCAGCAAGGGAAGGCAGGGAGGAGAGTGGCTGCACAGCCCCCTATCCTTTGCATCTCCAAGTCCCAAGGGGGCAGCCCTGAACCCAAAACCCCACACAGGAAACAAGCCCCAAGGAGATGGGGTCCTCCTGCAGGAACTCTGCCTGCCTTCATCTAAGTCAGCCCAGGGAGCCAGTCCTCACCTCGGGCCACACCCTGGTCCCTGCCTCCAGACCCTCGCAGGTGGTACCTGTGGGCATCAGGGGCAGCTTTTGCATCAGCTTGAACAGGCTTTCTTCGACCTCTCTAAGCAAGCAGTCCTGCCTTTCCTAAATGTGTATCTCCTGTTAAGAACAGAGGGGAACTCTCCCCCAGGGCCACAGAAGGACCCGCCCTGTCACCTCCTGAGCTCTTCCTCCATCCTAAAGTCCTCCATGAGCCCACCCATCTGCAGCTGACACCCTGCCTGAGATCCTGGCCTCACCCACCTTCACCAACCATCCCTGTGCCTCCTATAAGTTCCCCTAGAATCTCAGAGTGTGGCAGAGAAGAAAAAAGTGGAGGAACTTGCTGAAGGTCACATAGCCAGTTAGCAGCCCAGCTAGGACTCTATCCAGTTGCTGGCAGAGGACAGCAATCCAGAGAGCTGTGCAGTCAGGTGGGCTTAGGCTGAGCCCCGTCCCTGCCACTTGCTGGCTGTGTGACCTTGGAAAAGTCACCTTCCCTGCCTGGGTTTCACGTGCCTCATCTGTAAAGTGGGGATAACTGCCACCTCCCAGGCTTGCAGGGAAGATGAGACGGTAAGTGGACAAGCTTGGCAGAGCTCATGCACAGAGGAGGCAATTGATTGTTAGGGAGCAGCACCCGCACCAGGATGGGAGGCAGGTGATGGCAAGAGAGAAGAAGCATGATTGACAGTGCACCCACCAACCCTCCCAGTCCCAGAGGCCCTGGGAAGCCTCGAAACCAGGAACACAGACAGGGTCGAGAACAAAAAATAACACGGGCCTTTTATTTGCTCCAGAACTCGGCCGCTGTGTGGTCTGAGGGTGCCATGCTTTCCCGGGACCCCCTGGGGGACTCCCCCACCTCACTCAGGGGGGCTGGATTTCGGTGTGAGGTCAGACTGCAGCCCCCACCCCTCTGGGCCTTATCGGTCCAGCAGGCCCAGCTGCCCGCCACGGGGCTCGGGACCAGTGAATCCCCTGAAACTGGAATATGGTGCCCACCTTCTCAGCAAGGCGGCTTTTTCACAAGGCGTTGGTTAAAATATTGCACTTGTAAATTAGGAAAACTGATGAGGCAAAGGTTTCCTATTACAGGACGACATGCCAAGCATCCAACTACTGTTTAAATAAATAAAACTCAAGGCAGGGGTCCCAGCAGTGAGCCCCAGCAGCTCCCCTGAAGAGCCCCGGGGCCCAGGCCTCGGCCCCTGCCACACCAGCCAGTTCTTTAAGGAACTTGGTCGTTGCAAAGTCTCCGCAGCAAGGAGCAGCAGCTCCAGATCTGTCTTAGCCTGGCCGGGCCCCTGACCTGCCCAGGCCCTCGGGCCCCCTCGTACCAGGGCAGCAGGGACCCCGTGGGGCCAGTCCCTCGACTCCTCTAGTGGCCTGGGCCTCTCTTGGTCCAGGCCTCTCATCCAAATGTCCGTCTGTCTGTCCGGACGCAGCCTCCGGGGGTTTGCTTGCCCCCTCTGTCGCAGGGGGGAGGGAGGCAGGTGGGGAGGGGCCCAGCCCGCCTGGTGTGAACACTGAGCTCTGCCCGCGTGGCCCCTAAAGCGGGGGACTCATCTTCTTCTGGTTAATGAGGTCCAGGTAGAGGTCCGAGCGGAGGAAGCGTGGGTATGAGTCCTTCTCCATGAGCCCAAAGATGCGCTTCTGGGCCAGGTCGAAGCAGCCCCGAGTGACGCTCTGCAGGTTGTCCTTGGTGTGCTCCCGTGTGTACGAGTCCAGGTTTACCTGCGGGCGGAGGGCGACGAGGTCAGGGCTGCCTGCAGGAACCTGCTCCTGGGGGCCGAGGGCCGGGTCAGGACCTGCCCAGCCTCTCAGCTGCGAGCCCTTCTGCTTCCACATCGTGAGGTTCAGAGGGGAACCCCCACAGGTTAGCAGAGTCAAGTCCTGGTTCGGTCACTAACTGGGGGGGTGGTAGAGTTTTTAGGGCCTGAAAACATCACCTCTAGGGTCAGGCTACCTGAGTTCAAATCCCAGCAGTGCCACATGTTAGGTGTGTGACCTTAAGCGAATCGCTTAAGTGCTCTGAGCCCTGGCTGTCTTAATTATAGGCGGGAATAACAGTGCATTCCTCAGAGCTGCGGACATTAAGCATCACCATCCATTCTAAATAGACAACGCCTGGCACACAGGAAGCACTCAGCAGACGTTAGGCTCTCTGGGACTTTGTCTCCTCGTTTTAAAAATGAAAATAATATTAACACCTATTTTACAGGTTGTCCTGAGGGTTAAATATGAGAGCTCATCTGTGAAGGGCTTTGCATGGGCCTGGCACCGAGCAGCCCCTGAGAGTGGCCATTCGTGTTATCAGTCAGGATTCTGTTCTTCCCGGGAACCCCAGCCTGCTTCCTCTTCACCCTGGGCACTTGGCCCCTAAGAGTCACTCTGGGCTCTCCCCTTGCTGAGCTCCTCGAGGCTTCCAGCCAGCCCCCTCACCGAGAGGCTGCTGGGCATGGGGACGGGGGCCTGAGGGCCCAGCCCAAAGCCCTACCTCCTTGCACGCCTGAATGGCGATGTACTCAGCAAAGATCTTCTTGGCCTTGGCCGCCATCTTGGACTGTGACTTGACCTTCTTGAAGTCCTCGCATGCCAGCCAGAATTCCAGGTTCTCCTCACTAAACTCAGTGCGGAGGAAGGCCTGGAACACCGCTAGACCATCTGTGAGGAGAAGCCCAGACCTTGAGGTGAGAGGCCAAACCAGCCCCTCCTGCCCTCAGGCCCACCCCCGCAGCTGACCCTCTTGGCTCATTTTGGGTGCAGATGCTGGGAGCTTAGTAAGGGGACCCGCTCCTGAGAGCCGGGAACCCAGGATACGGTCCCCACCCCTGCATTGCCTCTTCATGGGCCTTGGCCAGGTCTCTCCCCAGCTGTGCCTCAGTTTCCTCATCTGTCAAATGGGAACCACCTCCTGGATTCTAGTGAGGATCAGAAGGGGTTCCCGTCCACGAGATGACAGGCAGATTTGGCCCCGTGTACGCCCTCCGCACATGGAAGTGTTTATTGTTATTCTGGGAACATGGGTCTGAGTATACAGGGCCCAAAGGCCTCTGGCAGTGCCAGCTCTCATGGACAGGGAGGGGCTGGCAGCAGCAGGCTCCAAGGCCAGAACAAGGGCCTCAGCCTTTCCCAACAGCGGGGACACCTGACGGCCCGGGGAACAGGGAAAGGCAACCTCTCCAGGGCCAGATGCACTCTCTGAGCCTGGGAGAGGAGCAGAGGAAGACGGGGGAGAAGACATGGAGAAGGGAACAGGCCGGGTGGCCCCAAGCCTGGGAGAGGAGGACGGGGGAGAGGACACGGAGCGGGGAACAGGCCGGGTGGCCCCCACTTACACTTGTGGACCAGCAGCTTCTCCAAGGACTCGCCCCATTTCAGCGCTTCCTCTGAAGTGGGCCTGAGGGGGAGGCAAGGAACACAGTGAGGGGCCGGGAGGCTCAGGGAAGCGAGCTGACCTCTGTCCGCTGTCCTTGGCCCCACAAAGTAGCTGAGCCCCATGAGGAGCACACGAGGGGGCCCACCCCCTTTCCTGGGGCTGGCGGCATCACTTCTACCCCCACCTCTGCCCCGCCCCGGCCATCCTTCCCGGGACAGCAGCTCCCCATCCACGCTGCTCATACAGGGTATGAGGCTCCTTCCACAGGAGCCTCCACCACCCCCGAGCCCGATCAAGTCAAATGCATTCTCCCTTACACGCCCGCCAGCCACCCTGCTCCCACGGGACCCGTGAGTGTCTGAGGGCCCAGGGGTGCCGGAGAGGACCTACTTGAATGACTTCATCACTTTGTCTGTCTTGCCTGTTGGCTGGGCCCCAGGGGATTCGTTCCGCCGCCTAAAGATGCCCAGCTTGTTCTTCATGTCCTTGGCTCTGGGGACAGAAGCAGAGAAGGGGGTCGGTGAGGCCGGTCCACTCGCCCGCTGCCAGTTCAGGGTGGGGAGGGCGGGGGCCGGGGCGAGGGGCACCTACTCCTTCATGGTGTGCCGCCTCTGGAGGTTCCCATTCCGAGTGAGGTACATGCCTCGGAGCATCGCTGTAGGGCCCCCCACCTTGCTGCCTGGGACGGTCTGCTGCAAGCACCCCCAGACTCCTGTTCCCAAGCCGGGTACCAGGAGGCAACGGTGCGGGCAGCAGCCGAGCACTCACTGGAATCCCAGCCCCGGACGACTGGACTCCCAGGCACAGGCCAGGCTGGGACTCAGACAGGAGGAGCCAGGAAATGGGAGGGACCAGGACGGGAGCAGGGAAAAAAAAAAAATATCCCTCCTGGCCAACCCTGAGAGGCAGCCCCGTGAAAGGGGCATGTGTCTGTAAGGGGCGGCCTCTGGGGCCCGCCCAGGCAGGAAGCCAAACCCGTTATTTGTGACTGGCCTCCCCGTTACCATGGCAGCACCCTGGGAAGGAGGAGAAAACAAATCAGCAAGTTGCTGGGAGGGAGGGCGGGAGGGAAGGGAGGCTCTGCCCATCAGGGTGGCAGGACCAGCTATTTTTAGCCAAGAGCCATTTTTAGCCCTGTCACTCCCCCAAGGCAGATTTCAGCCTGTGGGCAAGCTGCTGGTGAGAAAGGGTTAAGTGTCTCCTGCTCGCGATTGCCTCCCCGGTCCCTAGACCCCTCTCTGGGCACCTCCCAGAGAATAGTTTCTGCCAGCAGACTGCTCAGTCTCTGTCATAAGCTTTGGATATATCCACCCATGAATATGCAGGATGTCCCGTGAAGTTTCAGTAGTTTGAAGCTCCAATCACTTCAAAAGTACAAAGCCCATAAACTCTCAAAAACATCATTTGAAACAAATTAACTTTTTTACGCCTACTTAGTCTTATGACTTTTGAATACTACATTTTTTTTGTTTCAGTTTTTGATCTCTGTCCTTTTGATTAAAGACGACAAATGCTGACTGAACCGAAAAATTAAATGCGTAAAATTTAAAATGGGTTATCAAAACCGGAAAGCTAAGTAAGTGTAAAAGAAATTTAAGTAATGGAGCTTTCAAATGTGTTTTATACACTGGGCAACTTACTTCTGAAGTCATCCGAGCTTCAAAGGGCACTAAGACCGACGGGACGCCCTGTTTAATGAAGGCAAGTGGTGCAGGTGGAAGTTAGGGGCAGAAGTGCTGCAGCAAGACTGTCTCAGGTTCAGCTCCCAGCCCCAGCCATTACCAGCTGTGTGTCCTTTATCGAGTTACCTAACCTCTCTGAACGTCAAGTTTTCTCATCTGTTAAACACAGATGATGACAGTACCTACCATCTGCTGGGGTTGTTTCAAGGCAAGGAAAAAAATGCACATAAAGCTTTAGCACAGTGGCTGGGGCAAAAGCACTCAGGCTTATCTACATGGACCCTGAGGTCCTAGGGCAGCTGACTGAGATGAAGACCCTGCTCTAGCAGATTCCAAGCCAATGAGATAAGGCCAAGAAGTCCAGGGACGGGCAGCCCTCTGGTGAGGATCAAGGCCTTCTGAGAGCCTTGGTGGGCTAGGAGTGAGAGAGCCCAGCTTCTTGGGGCACAGTGCTCTGTTTCGGACCCTGGCTCCTGGCCCGCTGTCGAGGTGAGGACATAGAAGCTGGGGGGCGGGGGGAAGTGGGGGAAGAGCTGGCAGGGGCCAACCTGCAGGCTGCCGCCGTCCACTTGGGCTCATTGCTGGCTCAGAGACCACTGCGTTTCTCTGTGGCTGGAGGAGGCGGAAGCCCCTGCCAAGTCAAGCCTTTCGCCCTAGATGCACAGCTGGGCAGACCCACAGATGCACGGCACAGCTGGAGAGGGCCTCGAAAGTCCGATTGCTACCCAGGTAACTTGAGAAAGGATGGTAGAGGTCAGAGATGCCCCACATGGGCCCAGAGAGTAGAACTGGGACCCACAAAAGGAAGCTAAAGGGACACTTTCCTCCAATCAGAGCCGTGAAAAGATGGAACAAGTAGCCACTGGAGAATGGCTTCCCATTACTAGGGGCTCAAAGGCTACTTAGCAGGGGTCCTGCAGACCTCCTTCAGGGTGCTCTGCTTAGAAATAACAGGCTTTCTGGGAATTCCCTGGTGGTCTAGTGGTGAGGATTCTGGGCTTCCACTGCAGCGTGCCTGGGTTAGATCAGATCCCTGGTCAGGAAACTAAGATTCTGCAAGCTGCATCATGAGGCCAAAAAAATAAATAAATAAATAACGGGCGCTGAAGGAAAAAAATAAATTTAAAAAATTTAAATATATGTGCAGGCCTATTTATTTTTTTAGAGCCATCACGCCAGGTTTCAGATCTCAACTCTCGGAAAAGCAACTTAACCTCGGAAAACCAACCTAACCTCTTTCTGCCTCAGTTCACTCATTTGTAAAACAGGTTAAATAAGAAAAAAGGAAAGTAAAATAAAAATTGTGGTAAAGGTCACTTATATGCGGGATCTAGAAAAATAGTACAGATGAACTTACTGGCAAAGTAGAAACAGAGTCACAGACATAGAGAACAAACCTAAGGTTTCCAAGGAGGGCATACGGATTGGGAGACTGGGTTTGACATACATACACGACTATGTATGAAACAGATGACTAATGAGAACCTGCCGTTCAGCTCAGGGGACTCAGGACTCTGTGGTGTCCTAAATGGGAAGGAAATCTAATAAAGAGTGGATAGATATTCGTATAAGTGATTCACTTTCCTTTGCAGCAGAAACTGACACAGTATTACAAACCAGCTGTACCCCAGTCATTTCTTTTTTCTTAAGTATTGTAAAGGCAGGCGGCACAGTGGTCAAGAATCCGCCTACCACTGCAAAAAGATGCAGGTTTGATCCCTGAGTCAGGAAGATCCTTTGGAGTAGGAAATGGCAACCCACTCCAGTATTTGTGCCTGGAAAATTCCATGGACAGAGGAGCCTGGCGGGCTGCAGTCCATGGGGTCACAGAGTCAGACACAACTGAAGCACGCATGCGTGCTTAGGTTAAATTAGATAATATATGTAAATGCGCATAGAACAATGCCTAGCACAATCAACATGAGCTATTTATCATTGCAGGTTCTAAGAGTTCTCGCCTAAGCATTTAAGAACGTGAGCCATGGGCCATCAAGAGACAGCGCCCCACTTGGAAAGAAGGCCAGAGTGGGGGAGGCAGGAGAGCTCCAGCACCCTGGATGCCCGCCCTCTGCCGCCCTCCTGCACCCCTGCACGTGCCACCGTCAGCCGTTCCGGTGCCGCCTGCACCGGATGGTTGGTACAAAGAACCATCTCTGTGCGTTTCACCTTCCCTAGAAAGTGCGACCGCTCCTGGCTGCAGACTGAGAGGAGAAGCCTAATGTTGCTGCAGGAAACTGGAGAGGGCAGGGGAAGCTGGGGAGAGTTTCTAGGGAGTGGACCCAGCCAAGGTCGAGGTCAGGGAAGAACGTGGCAGAAGGCATCTGGGAAGGACTCGTCCCCCGACCCCGAGGCCGGCCTTACTGGCGTGCAAGGGTCTGGCACTGCAGGGCCTGGAGGGGAGGGATGCCCTCTGCAGGCCACCACGTCCCTCAGCGCCTTCTCCTCTGTCCCTGCCCGCAGTCTCTGTGGCCTGGGGTACAAGGACACCTTGGGGAAAACCCCTCACTCTCTGCTAATGAATGGGCACCTCTAACAAAACTCCAAATCGAAAGCATAAATTCTGGGGAGGCGGTGGGGGCAGAAAGGCATGGGGCGTATGGGATCCGCTCTCTGAGCCCGCAGCACCCCCTGCTGGCCATGCCCGGGACTGCCAGCATTCAAGAACTCAGTGGAGAAAGGAGAATCTCGTGACTGGTCAACCCTTTCTCAGAGGGAGCAAAGACCTTGTCGTGGTCACTTGGCCACCGCTTGGCTTAGCAGCTGGACAGAGCCAGAGCAACCAGTCCGTTTGCTTTTGCTTGATTCCCTGTGGCTTCTAGATACTAAATCTGCACCTTGCTTCACTTTATGTGGATGGACGCTGAGGGCAGTGCTGGGTGCTCAGGACCCTGGCTGACCTCACCCTGGAGCCACGGCTAGGTCCCAAGACCCCATTTTTCATGAGTGTCTGTCTCAGGTAGGACTGGATACAGCCCCTTCTCCTTGCCTCTACCGCTGGCCCACTGGGCATGGAGAATAAGCCAGAGGACGGGGAAGGAGAGGGGTGCAGGGTCCGCTCCCCCGCCCCCATCACTAGGGTGAGGACCAATAAATCTTTCCAACGTACAGGTTTTTGCTCTTTCTCTTCCGGGAGGTGTCATCATCATCCCCTACTGTGTCAGGCCCGCTCATCTGCAGAGAAAACACAGACACGTTGCAGGCTGGGCTGTTGTCTGAGCAAAGAGAGGCTCAGGGATCTAGCAGGCCCCGCCAACCACCCACCCCCACCTCCATGCTCCCAACCCTTGAAGAACAGCAGAGGGAGGGAGACCCCGCTGCTAGGAGCAGCCTGCTCACGGAGTGTCCTCCTCATGCACCTAGGAGGCAGCTTGGACGGGAGCAGCGCTCACGGCAGTGGGGCAGGATAGAGAAACAGCTTCAGTCAAGGTGCTACTGTGTGACTCAGCCAACTGCTGTCCCTCTCTGAGCCTCCAGTGCTTAATTTCAACATGGAGATCATAGTGACTAACCAACTCAGGATTCTGAGGTTTTTAAAGAGACCTGGGATGGGTCAGCCATGTATTAAGTGCATTATTACATAGGATAGTACCACTCTTGCCGTAAAGCTTTCCCTGGCTCCCAAGTACCCTTGAGACAATGTCCAAACTCTAGGACATGATGTACAGGCTTTACCATCTTAGGATATGGGCAGAAAGCTCCATATCGCCATCAGTTACAACTCCGTCGGTTATCTCTCTGGCCTGACCCCTGCTCCAGCAACTTCTTCAAACTGCCCTCCAACCAAAAACCATTCCAACCAAAAACCTTCCCAGCCGGGCTCTGTACACGTTCTTCCTTCCATAGGAGATGTTTTGGTGACTCTCTCACCTCCCATTCCTTCAAGACCCAGCTTCAGCAAAGACCTAAACCTCAGGTAAGCTGCTTAAATGCCTCCTCACCCAGGAAGCCCTCCTGGACCCCTAGACCCAAGCTTGTGCCCTCTTCACCCCTCCGAGGGCCCTGCTGTATCCAACATGGCTTCTCTCCGATCTGTCTCCTCTGCTGGAGTGGGAGTCCCCAAGAGCAAGGCCTCTGTCTGCCTTCGCCTCTGTCTAGGTCACCTTGCCTGGGCCTGGTGTATGTTAGGAGTTCAAGAAATACTTGAATGAATGAATCAATCAAGAGAGAGGGAAAGCAGGTTGGAAAGGATGTGTCTTGCAGGCTTCACTGCTTGATTAATGGCCTGCAATTTTATTTCCTGCTGTTCCACTGAGCCCCCAGATTCTGCCCTGCCCTACCTCCACCCTCCTTGCCTTTGCCTATGCCGTGCCCCCTTCCTGGAATGCCTTCTGCTCTTCTGCCCAATCTTGACTTCCTCCTAGTCTGTCACCCTTCCTCTCTTCCATACCACTCCAGACTCCCACCGTCTCTCCTGGGGCTGCCTTCTGTTGCCCTGCGTCTGTGTGTCCACCCTCCTCCTGAAGAAATCAGACCCCTGCAGTGCCGCCCCAGAGCAGAGGCACAGCAAATGCATTGAGATGTTGGAATGGCTGCGGCTGAGATGTCCTAAGACAAGACAGAAGGCCACCAGGTGTGAATCTCAGCTCTGACTCCTCATGAGTCACACCTTGGATCTCAGTTTCACTTGTAAAATAAAGCAAATGGGCTGAACTTTAAAATACCATGTTCTCAATTCTGGGAGGAAAAGTGGGCCTAATCCAGATATAGCCGGAGCTACCAGCCTCAGTGGGGCAACGACCCAGAGATGGATGGATGAATGAGTTATAGCTTCATTCATGGAGTTCATGCTATAGGCCAGACCTCAGAATGGATGTTATCCAGACACTGTCTCATTAATCTCAGAGCTAAGTCCATAAAGTAAACAGAACCTCAGAGAAGTTAAGTCATCTGCCCGAGGACACCCAGCATTTACGTGACAGCTGGAATCTAGGTCTGTCTGAATTTAAGGGCTGTGTTTCTCCACCAGAGGATGCTGCTACTCAGATGCAAGGATGGGACACATTATGAAGGTTTTCAATGAACGGCTCAGGGGAAATGCCGCCTCTTTCCTGAGAACGCTGCCCCACCAAGGCTGTAAACACGTGTGTACGTGCACACACAGGCACACACCCAACTATGGTGCGGGACTCCGATCTACAGTTTGCAGCCTGGGTATGGATGCTGCCTCCACTAATTTTGGAGACGTTCCCAGGCTTTCTCAGTTTCAGCTTCTTTAGCTCCGACAGAGGCATCCACCCCACTGTTGGGAGATTCACCAGGATAAAGTCTGGGCCCCGGAGGCTCAGACTGGTACAGAAGGCACCCTCAGGAACTGGGGGTTGTCAGCATTCACCGCCCAGTGATTGCTGTCACCGTCTCGCCCTCGCACACAGGTCACAATTGTCTGGCCTGGCCAGGCAAGGCCTGAAGCCCCCACCCGTGGGAAAGGGCCCAGAGCCTGGGCTTCCTCCCATTTAACCTCAGCTTCCGCACTTTATCGGCCCCACACAATGGGCCTGGGGACCACTCCCGCCCCGCCCGCCACCCCCAGCCTCTGCACTGCTGGGAACCCGGCTCTTCCTTCCACCGCTGGGAGGGGGTCATCTTCTCCAGGGTCGGCTCTCATCAGTCAGCCTGAGAGAGAGGCCAGGGAGCTCAGGCCCTGGGAGTCGGCCCCCAAAGTAGCCAGCGAAACCCACACGCCAAGGGGGTGCTGTGTGCCAGAAAGAGACTGAGACAGAAAGTCGGGGTTCTGCTTTCCAATCTCAGTGTGGCTCCCAAGCCTCCTGTCTCCGGGAGCTGCAGTGAGGCCTGCCTGAGGCTCAGCACACAAAGGGTCTCTCCTTCCCATCTACTTCCCTGCTCTGCTCCTTACCTCCTCCGTGCTGAAAGGTGACCAGAGAGAACCCAGAACCACTCAAGCCTGCCCTTCACTCCAGACAGAGGTCCCTGAGGCCCGCCCAGCTCCCACCTGGCCACCTCCAGGGACTGGAGGAATAATTACCATTTATATTGTAATTATAACTATTATAATAGTCACGGTTAAGAGTTAAATGCTAAACTGCCTGGATTTGAATCCTAGCTCAGTCACTTATTAGCTAATCGACTTCAGCCAAATTACATCCCCTCTCTGTCTCTGTTTCTTTATTTGTAAAATGAGGATAGTAACTGGACCTCTCAAAGGGGTGCTATGTGGATTAATGAGCACCTGTGGAAGAGTCTGATAACCAGTAGCTACGGCGGTGTGAACTGAAACTGTCTCCTGCCGTATCAATAAACAAGAAAGGTCACAGCCATCAGTGATCTCTGGCCTCCAAATGTGAACGAGGGCTCCCAAAACTGCGGTTCAGCAGACGCTGCCCCCCACCCACCACCAACAGTGACTGCTGAGGAGCCAGGGAATGCAAGAAGTAGCCATCTGCCAACTCCTAATGAAACAGGACTGGCCCCAGACAGCTGAGGTGCACACCAAAGGAATGAATTAAGTGAGCCCAGAGGTTTGCATCTTCCCATGCATAGAATGCTAAATTCCTTAACTTGATACCTGATCTTTGATGTTCAGACTGTCTGCAAACTTGTATATAGCTTGACTTCCTCTTCTGTCTCCTTGGAGCAGTTTTCTCAGATATACTGAGATGCTATCTCCCAGGCTCGGAGTCATTCCCACCAAACAAAATAACTCTCTACTTTCAGGTTGTGACTATATTTTTTTAGTGGTTAGAGCAGTTATTCACTTCGTGCCAGGCAATGTGCTAAAGTGCTGTGTCATACTTTAATTTAACCTTCTCAACAATTCTAAGAGCTGTTTGCTGTTATTTCCCCCTTGTTTACAGCTGAGGAAACTGAGGCCCAGAGCTGTGTGCTAAGTCACTTTAGTCATGTTCAACTCTTTGGGACCCCATGGACTGCAGACTGCCAGGCTCCTCTGTCCATGGGATTTTCCAGGCAAGAGTACTGAAGGGGGTTGCCATTTCTATTTGCCTGGGCTCTCCAAGCTGGCAAGTAGCAAAAAAATTTCAGGTCTGGCTGCAGACCCCACCCATGACTGAGGGGTCTCCTGTAAGCAGGGCCTCACCTGATTCCCCCTGTTGGTCCTGACCTGACTTCTGGGGCCACGTGGCCATACCTGGCTCCTCTCTCTGACCCAGACCATCCTGGCAGACCACATGGAACTTTGCAGAAACACTGGGGCTAGACTCTACACTTATTTGTTTAGACAGAGGTACGAATCCTTTCGGCTTTTTACAGGTAGGAGGCTGGAAGATGCCATCATGGCTTGGAGCTGGAAGGCGTCTTAGGGGCTCCCTTGTCTGAACCATAGCCTAGATGGGAAACAGCTCCCCTGACAGCCTCTGCCCAAGCTGGTTTCCTGCAGGAGGGGAGACGGAAGCACTGCCAGGGAGGGGCCACAGCCTCTCCCCGCTGTCAAAGAATGACCCATGATTCTGGGCTGAGCCAGGCCAGGCTGGGGTGAAATTCACAGATGCTCTTGGAGCATCCCTGGCTCCCAGGAAAAGGACAGACACGGGCCCAGAAAACCTGTCCTGCCGGACCCTTTTGGGAGCAGCCGGCAAGACGCGGGTCTGGCGGCAGAGGGCGCTGTGGGACAGCTCAACCCAGCGCAAGAGCCAGCCAGCCTCAGGGGGAAACCCATGGGATAACCCCAGGATAACCCAGGGATCTTCTCTTCTCTAGACCTCAGGCAGCCCACCCCTAAGATGATCGTGGCCGAGTGTTCCATCCCTCAGGTCTGTCTGGTTCAGATCCTCCTAAACACAGCAGAGGGGAGGGGTAACACAGGGACGGCCGCCTCTGGGACAGGCAGATTGCACGATGGCCAGCCTCGGTTTACCACACGGCAGCACAGTGATTGGCCGAAGGCCACAGGAGCTCTGCCTGGCCCTCCTGGGTCTCACTGGATCACAGGATCACTACCGTGGGCACAGAGCTGTCAACAGACTGCAGTCGTCTGGAATCCCTGTGACAACTCCCTGAAGACTTGGCCACTCCTGTTTTATAAGAGAAAATCGAAGCTCAGGGGAAAAAAAAAAACTCAGTAACTTGGCCAAGGTCTCAAGACCAGGAGGGAGGAGGCAGAGCCGAGACTGAACCCAGTCTGACCCCACAGCCCAAAGACCTCAGCCCTCTCCCCTTCACCTCTTGCCTGGCTCTGCCTGGAAACCGTGGTCGGTCGGCATCCGTGGACCCTCCCTGGAAAGCCAGGCCCAAACCAGGAAAATGGAAGTCACAGGAAAACCCGCCACCTCCCCCAGCTGCCAGTCCCCAGCCCCCTGCCCCTCACCTGCTAGAGGTGTGCAGGGTTTAGGACAGGCTCAGAGAGGACTGGACAGGGTGAGGCCACTGTCCAGCTCCATCGTCACGTGGCCTGGGACAAACCCTTCTCCCTCGGCTTCAGACTCCCCACTGTAAGATGAGTAGGACCGGTCCCAGCTTGCGGCAGCGAAGGCTAGAGGTGGGGGCGGGAGACTCCCAGTGAATGCTGGGACGGCTGCTACTACTCTCGCTGTCCTCCTTCTCATCATAACCACTGTCGTCAGCATGATCCCCTTTACGGAGGACCCAGCAGGAGCTGAGTGCCAGGCACTGCTCTGAACACTTAACCCAAGTCAGGCTCTTTAATCTTCCCAGCAACCCTACGATCGAGGTATTATTTACTCATAATACCCATTTTACTGATGAGGAAACTGAGGCTCAGAGAAGGACAGGGATTTACCCAAGTCCCACCGCCAGTGAAGGATGGAGGGGAACTGAAGTTTCTGTCCAGCCTAGACTGCACTTCCCCTTGACAAGGGTTAGCTTCTTACTGAAGCCAGCTGTCTGGAAGGAGCAGGATATGAACAATGCTGAAGGGCTTGAGGCCTGGTAAGCAAAAGCTAAGTGGTAGGGTGGCAGCCTCTGAGGTCCCTGCCAGCTAGTCACTCAAGCCCAAGAAAGGAGGCAACAGGCCAAAAGAGGGTGGGGGATGGGAGGATGCCAGTGGGAACCTTCAGCTCCCAAAGGAGGAAGCTGGGACAGGAGAGAGCTGGCCTAGGCCTGCTGGACTACCAGGCGGAAATATCTGCTCCCAAATCAGAGCTGAGATTAACTGGTTTGGGGAACTAGAAATGTATGTGGAAAAAAAAAAAAAAAAGAAGAAATGTATGTGAGAATGTGTGTGAATGTATCTGTACATAAATATCTGTACTGGAGCAAGAGGGGATGGGACAGAACTTGGAAGGGTCTGGTGGGGACAGTGAGATTGGGAGACCCAAGGTGGGTGTGGGTCCTTGGACCTCAGCCATCGTCCAGAGGAGAGTGTCCAGGCCTGGCCTGAGTTGGCCTGAAGCCTCACTTCAGTAGGACAGAGGTCTGGACTCCCTATAGAAACTGCCTCCAAAAAAAAAATGGCCTTAGACGGTGATACTCAAGCTATGGGAAATGTCCCAATCCCTGAGGGACTGGTTTAAAATGCAGGGTCTGGGCACTGCCCCCTGGAAATTCTGATTCCAGCTTCTAGGGAGGGGAATTAGAAATCTATATATTAATGACCTATTCCCCTGATGACTTCAGAGCACATCAAAAGTGCTTACAGATGAGGAAATAGATCCAGTCCCCATGCCTTTGGGATTTAGTTCTAATTCCTGGACACAAAGTTTAAGGCCCTTTTCTGGAGGGCCCCAACCTACCCTTCCAGCATAGGCACCTTTCAGCAGAAGGTGTTCTCCCTCCTACCGAGCGGCCTTATTGCTAGTGGCTGAGAAATTACAGAGGCTTCTGAGGTCATGTCTCAATCTGGAGGGGAAATGTGCTGGAATCCATTAGTCATGTCTGCCACAGGTTTGGAGGCAGGAATGGCAGCATGCATGCCATGCATCAACCATCTGTACACTTTAGAAATCTCTTGTTCTACCTAAATTAACTTCTATAGACAGTTTAGTCCAGGTCATGTTCTTTCACAGAATGCCTACCTCATCCTCTCTGTTTATTCTAAACCTGCTCAACTTTCAAAGCCAAGCTGAGGAGCATCTTTGGCCAGAAGCCTTCCCTGGTGGCCCTAGGCCCTGGGGTCTCTCCTCCCGGAACCTGCCCCACCACCGCTCCCCCAAGCCTCACAACAGTTGTCATAACAACACCTTGCACCACAGTGACTGTTAGCAACTCCACAGCATTTGCCTGGTGCCTAGACTAATGACATCAGGCACCAAGCCCTTTAGAAAGTGAAGTGAAAGTGTTAGTAGCTCAGCCATGTCTGACTCTTTGTGACCCCATGAACTGTATCCTCTGTCCATGGAATTCTCCAGGCAAGAATACCGAAGTAGGTTGCCAGTCCCTTCTCCAGGGGATCTTCCCAACTCAGGGATGGAACCTGCGTCTCCTGCATTGCAGGCAGATTCTTTTCACCGTCTGAGCCACCAGGAAAGCCGCAGGCTCTTTGGGTTCACCCTCAATTGCCTTGAGTTGTGAGTGCTATTAATCTCTGCTTTTCAGAGAAGATGCTAAGGCTCAGAAGGGCTGAGTGGCTCACGCAGGACCACATAGTAAGTGAGGGACAGAAACCAGATTCAAATTGGCTAGTGGGCCTCAAGGACTTCCCAGGTGGCTCAGTGGTAAAGAATCTGTCTGCCAAAGCAGGAGATGCAGGTTCGATCCCTGGGTCAGGAAGATTCCCTGGAGGAAGAAATGTCAACACACTCCAGTATTCTTACCTGAAAAATACCATGGACAGAGGAGCCTGGCGGGCTACAGTCCATGGGGTCGCAGAGCTGGACTTGACTGAGCCAGTGAGCGTGAGCACGGATGGGCTTCAAAGCCGTGATGCAGTCTTTTCACTGTTAGGCCACCCCCCCTGGCCCACACAGGACACACATTCCTCACAGGCTGAGATCAGCCTCTCGCATCTCTGTGGCCCCTGCTGTGGCACAGAGCACCGGGCCTGGCACACAGCAGGAAGTCAATAAACACTTATTCATCTATTTATAAATATTTGCAAGAGACAAAGAGCATGGTGGTTAAGAGCTCCAGCCCTGGAGCCTCATTCTAATTCTGATTCAGACATTTATAAACTGTGCAGCCCAACGTGAGTGACATAACCTCCCGGTACCTCAGTTTCCTCATCCGGAACAGGCAAAAACAGTGCCTACCTCATAGGGCTTGCTGTGAGAGGTAATGAGTTCATATAAATTGCTTAGAATAATGCCAGCTTGGGGGAAACACGTGTTGTCATGCTTGTGGGCTGACAGATTTCTAGTCTGGCTAGGCTTGGACCAAGTGTAAGTTATAACTATTTCTCCAGCTAGCATGTTGGATCTTATAGATCCAAAATACACCTGCTCTACTTGCGGTGGATTCCCCCAGTAAAATAGAGCTGTAAGAATATCTGGAGTCAGAAAGTCTTGCGTTTAAGTCCAAGTTCTGCCTTCTTGGTCCCTCTGGGCCTCAGTTTTATCATCTGTTAAATGGGTAGAAGGCTTATTGAAAGGTTGAGACAAAAGCAGAGGTGGGACAAAGCCAAGATTCATTCCCTGCAGCTCTTGGACCCATCCAACCCTGTCATGTACCCTGTTCCCCTCCACCCCTGGGCTCCTTACCTTCCTGTGTCCTGTGAAAAAGAGGGAAAGGTGGTGCATTGAGCCTCCATTGCGGCCCAGTTCCTTCTTGAGGGTGCGGGGGGAAGGCATGGCCCAGGCGGCCGTGGTGCCCTCGCCATCCGAGCAGTGCAGGGTGGTGTCGGAGGAGAAGCAGGGCCCGCGGTTCTCCTGCAGCAGACTGCCCTCGCTGTGCGTCCGGCGCCGCAGCGAGTTCTGAACGCGCAGCGAGAGGCCGCCCTCGGCTCCCTGGCCCGTCTCGATCATGCTGCTGCGCTTGGCCTCCCCGCGCTCTCCGTAGTTGTCATCGCTTGTGTCCTCATCCTCGTCCTCCTCCCCCTCCTCGGCCTCCTCTGCATCCTCCTCGTCGCCCGAGCTGCCCCCCTCCGCCCCTGCCTTCTGGCTATAGGTGCTATCCAGCCGGACCTCGGGGATCACGAAGTTCGGCTTGGAGGCCACGGGCAGGTTCCCTGTGGCTGCTGGTGGGTCCCCAGAGCTCGTGGTCTCCTCAGCAAGGGGCTCAGCTGCCAGGGGGGCCTGGCCTGGGGGCAGGTCTTGACAGGGCGGAAGGTCCTGGGCAGGGGGTTCCTGGAGGGCAGGGAGGTCTTTGCTGATTAGAGGGTCTTGGCCGGGAGAGGGTTCTCGCCCAGCAGGAAGGTCCTGGCACGGAGAGAAGACTGCGGCTGCAGGGTGTTCCTGGCCTGGTGGGGAGTCCTTTCTGGGCAAGCGTTCCTGGCCCACAGAAGGTTCTTTGCCAGAAGGTGAGTCTTTGCTGGGCATTGATCCTGGGCCAGCAGAAGGTTTCTGGCCAGAAGAGGAGTCCTCTTTGGGTGGAAGCTCTTGTCCAGGAAGAGGCTCCTGGCCAGGAGAGGGGTCTTTCCTGGGTGAGGGGTCGTTGGCACCCGGCCCCTTCCCTTCCTCCCCGGGCATCTCCTTCTTCTCATCCGCCTCTGACTCCTCAAACATCTGTGAAATAAAGAGAAAATGAGAAAGGCTTACAAGAGGAGACTACGGTGCACGAGTCAGTGTCACAGAGACTGAAAATGAGGCGGCGATCCGAAACCCACACCCTGTATCCCATGGTGTGAAAGCCAAAGGGCCCCGTGGAAACCCGACAGCCCCTTTGGCTTAGCTGAATATGGGCTTCCCGCCCTCACTGCCTTGCTAGAAACTTGCACTCCATCAAAACATGGTTGGTCATTTAAGGGAGAAGAGGGAGAGGTTAGTTACCATTATATGGCTCCTCTCATATGCCAGGAGCCGTGGCAGAACAAACCCCTCTTATATAATGTTCTCCAGGGGCTTTCCTGGTGGCTCAGAAGGTTAAAAAAAAAAATCCATCTGCAATGTAGGAGACCCAGACTTGAGCCCTGAGTCAGGAAGATCCCCTGGAGAAGGGAATGGCAACCCACTCCAGTATTCTTGCCAGGAGGATCCCATGGACAGAGGAGCCTGGTGGGCTACAGTCCATGGGGTCACAAAGAGTCAGAGAAGACTGAGTCACTAATACTAACATGTAATGTTCCCAATGGCCCTCGAAGGGGAGTGTCACGGTCCCTCTGTGAGTAAGTCGCTCTGTGAATAAATGAGGAGCAGACAGCCTTGGCCTTCACAGACCAGAATCAAACCAATCCCCAAACCAGAGCAGCTACCAAGTGAGAGAATCCCAGACCCAGACAAAGGATATCTTCCACCTGAACCAAAGTCTTTTAAAAGCCTTAGTGAGTCATTTGAAGAAGAACTTGCTCTGAATGTTCAGCTCTTTTTGAAACTAGTAAAGTGGAAGAAAACCAGAACTTCAAAATACTGCACATACCTATACTCGACAGATGTCACAGACATGTGGAACCTCACTGAGGGATCACCCACCCCGTGCTTTTTAAACTGCGTTTGGAGGAACCTCAGGAATCGCACGCACAAACCAAAGAGGAAGCATTCCTGCCTCACACACCACCCTCAGGATCCTCGGAGTTTTCGCTGGGTTCCTGCAGATTTCATTTGCAAAAGGGAAAATACTGCCCTTACTCCGAGTCTGAAAAGCAGCTATCTCACAGGAAGACTGGGGCTCAGAGAAAGTCAGGGGTGTCCCAGGGGCACAGCCACACAGGAAAGTGGGTCAGGCTTGGACTAGGCTGGGCGCCCCCATCACAGGCAAGGACTTGGAGTGCTGGACCGGGAACTGCTCAGAGCCCAGGTTCTGTCCATGAAGATGCCACGAGGACACAGAACTAATGAAAGAGGAAGATGCCACACATTTACGGGAACTGTACAGATAAGGACACACACACACACAGGCGGAGAATTTCATGGTAAATGTCTCAGAACATAGGTTAAGAGTTCTTACTGTAAAGACCGCTCATGTCCATTTGATGGATGAAGAAGCTGAGCCCAAAGAGCAAGGACTTACCCTCTATGGCACAGCTGCCAGAGACTGAAAGGCCATGCCTGCAGCTGGGAGCTCTTCTAAGCTCTGGGCCGGCCAGGCCTCACATCTGGGAGTAAGGGGCCCAGCCGCAGCCCAGGGCAGCTGCCGCACCCACGTGTCAGGGGTCACAGTGGCGTATGGGAGCAGCAGAGTGGATGTGAAAGGCCAGCGGGGTAAGAACCACCGCCTGGGAGGTTGAAAGTGAAAGCCCCTCCCACCTCCACCTCCAGGGTTGGGGGAGGGAGAAAGTTGCTGAGCCAGGAAGGGGAGCCTCAGAGGACTCCAGGATGATGTGGCCAAAGTCTGGTTCCCAGGTACAGGCAAAGACAGGGGCCCACTCACCCCGAGGACTGCCTGCCCTGCAAATCCTGCCTGCAGCTCCACGGTGAAGACTTATCCACCCAGGAAACCCTCAGACCACACTGCCCCAGACCCGGGAACTTTGGCGAGCCCGTATCCCCACTGCACAGATGGGGAGACTGAGGCCCAGAAAGGAGAAGGGGCCAACCCAGAATCACACAGGGGGCCAGGAAGAGCCAGTCTCTAAACCCTCTGGACCGCTGACTCGCTACCTATGAAATGGGATAAGCGAGGTACCCAGGGGACACACGAGGAGAGTACACTATGAAAGTCCAAAGCTCTGAAATGCGATGGTGGTGGTAGTGTGGGGGTTGTGGTGATGAAAACAATGTCACAAAACTCAAACAGTGGCACATCTTTCTCATGGATCCCTAGAAGCAAACTGTTTCCAGAATCGAAGTTGGCAACTGTGATTCCAGGCGCCCCAATCCAGGAATCTCATCTGGGAACCTTAGTTTGGTCCCAGGGGGTTCAGAGAGACCCTCCACTGAACTGACAGGAAGACAGAAGGCCCAGCCTGGACAGTGACCTAGGGACTTGCCCAAAGGCATCCGTAAACGCAGGGCTAAGCTGGGGTTAGAGCCTGACTCCTGGCTCTTTCTTCCCAAGCCCCCTTCAGATCTCAGTTCCCAGGGCAGCCCAGCTCCTGCCCACCCCCTCCCACCAGCAAGCATTCTCCATCAAAAAAAGCAAACTGTGGGCAACGCCAGCTCCCTGGTGTCCCACATTCTCTCACCTCCCCCTCTTCCAGGCCCCTCCATCTGGAAGCACGGACAGTTGGAAGTAGCAATTGGTGCCCTCGGGGCCTGGCACTGGGCCCTGAGAGAGGAGCAGGCCACCTTTCCCCTTCCTGGGGGTGGAGTGGGGCAGGGCCTGCACCAGCAGTGACTGCAGCCGAACCACCTGCCCCTCGAGAAAGTGCAGCGCTAGACCCAAAACCAGAAATGCAAGTCAGCCTGCCTCTGCCAATCCCGTGCTCAGCCGAGGCCAAAGCAAACAAACCAAGCCGGGAGGGGAAGTGCCTCTGCCCTCAGGGGGCCCCCGCCCCAGGGACGCTGAGAGACCACTCAGGACCCAGGGCTCTCGCGGCACCCAGCGGTTCCTGCTCAGACAGACTGAGTCAGACTTCGGTTTTGCTTCCAGCGGTGTCATTTCCTAGCTGTGCGAAAACATGGCCAAGCCTCCCCGAATTCTCCGAGCCCTGATTCCTTACCTGGAACGGAGCCGTGATATCACACCAAACTCACAGGACTAAGTTCATGCTCTTCACGGGGCCCGGCCCCAAAGAAGCATTTGATACAGCGGGCGCTATTCTTAGTCTAGGCTTATCGTTGTCATTGTGGAGTCGCTCGGTCGTGTCTGACTCTTTGCGCCCTCAAGCACTGTAGCCCCCTAGGCTCCTCGGTCCATGGGATTCTCCAGGAAAGAATACTGGAGTGGGTTGTCATCCCCTTAGAGATCAGGAAACTAGGTCTCAGAGGCCAAGGGCATTACCTAAGAAATGGGAAGCTGATTCAGTACTGGAACTCCTGTCTCCTAGTCAAGGGTCTCTCCCCACTTCCTTGGATCTTTACACACAAGGGGTGCTGGGTAGGGGGGGAGGCCCAGGAGTTTAGAGGGAGGGGGAGCAGGCTGTGAGCAATGGCCCTTCACCCAGGCCCATCCCCCACAGGGCAGATATTGGCAAAGAAGAACCAGCTCAGAGCAGACCAGGTTCTGTTTCGTGTGAGCCGCCTGAGTAGGCTTGGTCAGATCTGTGTTCCTGGGAAAGCTGGAGTATGGGGTACCCGAGAGGGCAGAGGGCCTCTGGAACAGAAAGCCTCAGAAACCTTAGGGGAGAGGGTTGCAAGTGAAGAGAATTAGGATGGGAAAGGAGAGAAAGGCGAGAGCCAGGTTACAGAGCGGATGCCAGGCAGAAGCTGGTCCTGGGAGCGGCGAAACAACACAAGCAGGGCTGAGCTATGTGAAACTGCTCTGGGCGGGGTGACAGGTCATGGGGGTGGCGGGAGGACTGGGGTGCACGTGTCCACGCAGTCATTCATTCTCCAGGCACTGAGTTAGGTCCTGGGGTGGGGGTGGGGACAGCAGAGACCAAGTCTCTGCCCTCCCCTGAGCAGAAAAGCAAAGGCTGAACAACTGGTCTTAGGGAATGCGGTGAGAGCTCTGGAGGAAGTGCAGGCAGCGGGGGACACCCTGTTAGGCAGCTGTTACAGCAGGTTGGGGTGCCAAGAATCCAGCCAAGATGGCCCAGAGACCAGCTGACTCGCCCAGGGCCCTGGGTCCGAACGCTCCAAGAAGATGCCCTTCTGCTGCAGAGAGTGTGTATCTCTCCCATCCATCATCTCTTTGGCTCGGCTGGACCAGGGTTAATTCTGTGCATGTCTCGCCTGCTAGAAGCACACAGGAAATGAACCAGGCCTTCTAAATGGAGCTGCTTTTTAGGATATAATCAAATCCTCTCCCCAGTCCAATCCAGGGCTCGGAACAGGCTGGGGAAGGGTGGCAGGTGTGACACCCAGAGGCCTGGCTCACACCACCTACGTCCCTCGGGCCCTGCGGTGGCAGACTGCAGGAAGAGACTTGCCCAATGTCACATAGCTACTAAACGTGGACCAGGTTGGCTGACCCCAAAGTCAACCTGCAGCTCTAATATGACTCATCACCTCCACCACAGATGCCGAGCTCGAATCTGCCCTCGAAAACCACTTCCTGCATTGGGCAGGGCAGGGCTGGGCTGGGGTGGTGGAGGTCGGGGTTTGGGGTGGGGGGTAGAGTGCCAGGGTTTGCCTCTATCTCAGGGGCGCCCTTCTGCAGGATTTTCAGAAAGAGCCTGGACAGAAGGCCGGAAGACCCCAGTTGGAACCCTCACCCCATCATTTGCGAGCTGTGTGATCCCAGGCGGTCACTGCCGGGGACCAAGTCTGAGAAAGGACAGGAAGGTAGCCCTGTGAAAGGGAAAGCAGCTGGACAATGGGAGAGGCTACAAGACTCCCACCCAGCCCTTTGAGCTCCAGGCTTGCCTTTTGAGATGGGGGTGCTCCTCTGAGTTTGGCAAGCTGGCTCAATGCCGGCTTCCAGGAACCCCCGCTCAGCCTCAGTCCAGCTCCCCAGGTCTGGCTTCTTGACCCCCGGAGGCTGGAACCACCGCCCTGCCTCTGCCACTAGCTCAGGGCCTCCAAAC